TGTATGAAGTAAAAATAGTCTAAAACTTAAGTGATTATAATAATCATATACCATTAGTCTTGAGCACTTGTTAAGTTTATAAAATATTGTATTTATTTATTTTAATCGACCTATATAAGTAATTTTCACTATTAAATCCCTCAAATACTTTAATCCATAATAAGGTATGTGCTCAATCCCATGAAAAATGTATGTCTGAAGTGTTTGATTAAAGCCAGTACGTCTTGTTGATTGTTTTTCATCCAGTTCCTTCATTGAATGTCACTTCACCTAATCAAACTTAGTGTAGCCTTTCATTTTAACGTCAATTACATCGAACGATAGTGTTTTCAACAAGCTCACCACTTTAGTGGCCCTGACTCCATTTGGATTGTATGAATGATTGTTATTGATATGTACATGTGAACGAATCCTCGCACAAAATCATCGACTTAACTCGCGTTAGTGAATAATGGAATTAAATAAATCAAATACAAGAATGAGGTTTGAACATATATATTTCGTACACTCATTGGTTTGGACAGACAATCAGAAAAACGCAGCGAAGGCAACGAATAGAAGTCGATAGAGACAACCCAATTTAATCAAGCGTGAATCGATATTTGTAGTCGGAATAAATAAATTACAGACATATGATGAATAGGGTAAGTGATTAACACACATATGATCATGTAAAAAGCAATCAGGATTGATAAATGAATAAGCGACATGGTAAAAATGTAGCTTGAGAAGAATGAATAGATTGGTCGATCTAGAAGCTAGAATAGCCCATGTGAACTTGATAGAATACCAGCCCCTACAAACTATACCATATGAACAAAAAAGTGCAAAATTTGAGTTTGAAAATATTTGGTTTTACATTTTAATTTCACTTATTGATGAAATAATTATCCAGCAAATTAATTCAGCAAATGATATTGAATTGTTTGATGTAGCAAGTGGGAAATCCTAAATTTGATTAGTAATTCACGATCCCGAAATTCAAGGAAATCACTACCATATATCATATTCCAAATTCAGTCCCGATAACTCTAACTAAATACATTAAGTAATCATGGTGCGACTATAATTTATGGACGACCTTTGGGCGACGCTAAAGTAACCTTGAGAGTGTCCCCTTTAATAACTAAAACCAAACGAGGGTTATAAACCAGTGTGAGGAATTAGAATTGTGATTTATGGTCGATGGTTAAGGTTAAAAATTACATTGAGGGCTTTCATCACCAACTGACATAAGCTATAATGCCAAAATTCTATTTAACCAAAGAGATGAGTGAATTTCGCACTAAAATCCGAGATCTTTTATCTTATACCTGATTGGTTCGCCCATAAATTATAGTTTCGCCGTAATCATTAAATAATTAAACTAATTTATAATGTCATTGAATACAAAATAAAAGGAATTCAGGGAAGAAAACTTTCTCTTTTTAACGAAATCATCAAAAAGAAAACTGTTGTCTCCATAAATGTATATAAACATGTATAGTTTACAACATGTAGTCAATTAAGAATATTTTATTGCTGACAATTCAGATTCCAGTTTACTTCGATTGATTTATTGTTTAGTATTAAAATTGTTTGGCAGATAGTATATCATATTATAATTGTATCTTAATTGGTGATTAATGTATAAACGTTCAATTTCATCACAGACTTTTTTCAGATATGTCACTGAACAAAAAGAGTACACATAATCAATCGTTGAAACTCAAAATTCAAAACATGTTGATAAATTAATGAAATCAATGACAATTTGTCAACCGTTTGAAAAATAAAATCCAATTTCTGATAATAATGACATTTGACAACACATTGATGACTGGTTTATAAAGATCATAACCATAGTAACTATATACATTTTAATATTCACAGTGGGAGAATATAATTCTAAGTGTATCATTAATATCCTCTCATAGGTAGGAAAACCATTTTCAAACCGATTATTTTTAGTTCAGTAGCGATTGAATTTTTTAATCGGTATTTCTTAATTAGCATGCAACAATCGAATCATACTTGATGGAGAAGATTTGAAAGATGTAAAGACCGTTACATATCTGGGCAGCATCATTGATGAACACGGTGGATCTGATACAGATGTAGAGGTGCAGATCGGCAAAGCAAGAGTAGTATATTTACAACTGAAGGACATCTGAAACTCAAAACAACTGTCAACCAACACCAAGGTCAGGATTTTCAATACAAATGTCAAGACACTTCTACTGTATGGGGTGGAAACGTGGAGCACTATGAAAGCCGTCACCCACAATATACAAGTGTTTATTAACAGTTGTCTACGCAAAATACTTCGAATCCATTGGCCAGACACCATCAGCAACAACCTACTGTGATAGAGAACGAACCCAATCTCAGCGGAGGAAGAAATCAGGAAGAAACACTGGAAGTGGATAGGACACACATTGAGGAAAGCACCGAACTGCGTCACAAGACAAGCCCTCACATGGAATCCTGAAGGTCAAAGTAAAAGAGGAAGACCAAAGAACACATTACGCCGAGAACTGGAGATAGACATGAGAAAAATGAACAAGAATTGGATGAAACTAGAAAAGAAGGCGGAGGACAGAGTGGGTTGGAGAATGCTGGTTAGCGGCCTATGCTCCATTGGGAGTAACAGGCGTAAGTAAGTAAGTAAATGGTGTAAAATTTATCAGATACCATCCATTTAGGATGAGAAAAGAATAGCAAGAATAATTGTAATGACAATATTTTTGACAAGCCAGTTGGTAACCGGATGGTTGTCATTTAAAGAAACTATTTGTATTTTAGCTATAATTTCATTGAAGATTTAACAAACAATTCATATTACCGTATTGCATTATATTTTATGGTTGAGCTATCAAATGGAATGGGATTACCATTCTTAAAGAATGATACATTTTCTCCTCTTAAAGTTATTTAACTAATTATTTGGAATGATAGAATCAATAATACAACTTGTGAACTAATCTACGAAACTTTCTGATTAAAGATGTCGAAATTCAATCGTTTTAAATTATCATTTAAATTTATTCGCTTCCAATCAAAGCGAAATTGTAATCAGGCTGATATAAGTATTTTATAGAGTGAAAAATGGCCAGAATTTATCACCCAGCATTTAGGCATATTATTAACATTTTCTCTTACTTAACATGTTTTGGATAAGATAAGAGTGAATTATCATCAATCGTAAAGTAAACCTTACAAATACACATGTGTAGAATTGATTTTTATGTATATAAAGGAACCTAGAAGTATTTATTGATGATTCGATTCAGGATTATATTCGGTATCCAGTTCATGTATAATAGGTGGGAATATTCATTATCGTCGATAACTAATATCAACAAAAGATAATATTATGTCATTATTTTATTAACAATGTATTCGAGAATCATTCATACATTTTTCTTCAATCTCATAATTAAGAAAGTAATTTAAAACCTGATTATTTTATTTTATTAGGACTGTGAGTAAAAGTGAAATCCAGCACGCACCTTACAGTTTATATCGGGCCCTTCATATGTATGTACCTGCATCCCAGTATTAATATTTACTGTCGTCCAGTTGCGGTGTAAATATAATTTATTTTAAAAAGGAATTCATCCATTCAATGTTGAAATTTGAATATCCTTCGCAAAACAATACAGTATAGTTAATTTTGGGATGGTAGAGAAGATTTGTAGCTCAGATGGATGATTTATGTAGAGTTTTGTTTTATGAGCTGGATGGTTTGGTTGTGGATCTTTGATTATACTTTTAAACGATATAATTAGCACAAACTTCTTGTAGAACTTTGACTTTCGTGTTGATGATGTTGTTCAGAAGGACAATCAAAGATCCACAACCAAACCATCCATCTCAAAGAACAAAACTCCACCTCAATTATATTTATTAAATAGACACGTTAAGAAAACGAGCTTTATGCGGACTGGTTTAAGTTGTATGGGGTATTTTTTACAAGTATCCCTAACTTCTAGTAAGAAGTTTACACCAGTTGTTTTCAAACACGTCTGAAATGAAACAGCCATTGAAACTGACATTAGGTGATCGTTGCACTATATCACCTGAAAATATATACCACTGGATCCTAGGCTGTCAGTTTCATAGTTACGTGCTCGCTAATAGGGATTCCGATTTATGGAATAGTCATGAGTAAACACCATCGATGGAATCCCAAACCAGGAGAAAACAAAAACATTAGTTACTTAATCAACATTTGAACCAATAAGCGAGTTTCACCGGTTCTTTTTATAAACCACTTCATTATTAATGAATATTTTTACTTCATGTGGATTACTTAAATTTCGTCGACGGTTATAAAGCAAATTGCAAGTAAATCATTTACTGTGTTTAAATAATGGTATAATATAATGATGGAATCAGCCGTTCTTCTTTTATTCTTCACTTTAATATTATTATAAAAACGATATAACCCTGATATTCAGATTCGACTACATGGACTACTAATAATTTGTTGATCTGAAGAAATTTCAGTCTGGTGAAAAAGCATTTATGAGAATTTAACTCTTATTATAACATTTTTTAATACTTTGATTGATAAAAATCAAATGCTTAATAAGAATAAACCATTTTACGGTTCATTTTATAAATATGTCAATATACTTGTATACTTGAATAACTAATTCATGTCTAATGCACAACGCGATGATGGAGTTTTGTTCTCTGAGCTGGATGGTTTGGTAGACTTCTATCTGAAGTTTGTGCTGATGATGTCGTTCAGAAGAACGACTAAACCATCCAGTTCAGAGAACAAAACTCCATCACTATCAGAGATTATTGCAACGATCCATTGTAAACAACGAATATTCATTTTTCATAGTGATTTTTCTGGTTAGTTTTTTTATAACAAGGTTCTTATTTGTTACGGGATGAATTTGCTTATCCCATCTTCAAACTCTACACTTTTGCTCAAGTTTGGGATCTCTGTGTAACTGATCATAACTTATATATCTTTAAAAAAAGAATTATATTTAGTAACTTACGATTCATTGGACGGTAGTCTTATCAGATTATTACTGCTAATATTATCTTCTGTAGACAATTCATCTATTGAATAATCACTCATTATTGTTTGTTAATGATAATTATTTTCAAGTAAATTCATCCAATTAATTCATATCAATGTTATAAGAACATTTCGATTTCATTGCGCCATGATAAGGTAATGGAAGTGTTTTTAATAATCTTGAAAATGGTATTATTTCTGCACAGATTATAGAAAATAATTTGAACTGCTTCAGTTGTCTAACATTTCAAGACAGATAGAAAATGTATTAAAATCAATGTCCTCTAGTTAAATTACCAATTTGATAATGATCAATTTCAACCCCTTTTTGTAATATCAAGAAATAAACAAAAATACCCCTTTCATTAATCATTATTCTCTACCATTCATTGCCTTAGTTTGATTGGATAATTTATTTTTCTTTCCCATTAAACAAATGCAAGTGGAAAATGGAATGAACCTATCATAGAGACCATCATTATTACTGACTTTTCACAAAAAAATTGTTTCTTTTCAGCTTAACTGTAAATTTGTTTTTTTTATCTCAAGGGTGGTGTCAATAATGAATAAGCCAATGGGGAAAATAAGTTTAATTTCTTTAACGAAATGGAGTGAAAGTAGGAGTTTAGAACAATTATGCGTCTAGAAATTGATACGCCCATAATTTAAAAACTACAATTCAATCAATAAATGAGATGGGAAAATTTTTTATCAGTTTAATAATAATTTATCCACGCTGGTTAGCTTTGTGTTTTAGTTAGGATTTATGACCTATGGAGTAAAGCAAGCCAACATTAACATTGAATGAGCCTCCTACTATATGGCACGTAAAAGCACAGATCACTGAATTCTGAGCACATCACACAGTATTATGATCACCATGATAAATGAAGTTTATGAGCTCAATCTTGTACGGAGTTTGTCAGTGTGTATTTGTGGAGAGTATTTAACTAGCACGAAGCAATAACCCAGATTCGTTCTGCTTTTCTTCAGTTTTTCAGCTTTTTTCGTGTCTGAAAAATCACCGTCAGAGTCAAAAGTTTATGCCAATGGTGTCGTTCAGAAGAACAATGAAAGCTCCATGACCAAACCATTTAAATCAGAGAACGAAATTCAAACAAAGTCATCCACCTGAGCCACAAAACTTAACCACCTCAAAGCTGAAAAGTACTATACTTTAATACGAGGCTTAGTAGTGTTACATTGTTTGAAACTATCCATGATCGCAATTAAAACGTACTCAGTAATTAAATGCTATGGACTACTTACTTACTTACTTACGCCTGTTACTCCCAATGGAGCATAGGCCGCTAACCAGCATTCTCCAACCCACTCTGTCCTCCGCCTTCTTTTCTAGTTTCATCCAATTCTTGTTCATTTTTCTCATGTCTATCTCCAGTTCTCGGCGTAATGTGTTCTTTGGTCTTCCTCTTTTACTTTGACCTTCAGGATTCCATGTGAGGGCTTGTCTTGTGACGCAGTTCGGTGCTTTCCTCAATGTGTGTCCTATCCACTTCCAGTGTTTCTTCCTGATTTCTTCCTCCGCTGAGATTGGGTTCGTTCTCTATCACAGTAGGTTGTTGCTGATGGTGTCTGGCCAATGGATTCGAAGTATTTTGCGTAGACAACTGTTAATAAACACTTGTATATTGTGGGTGACGGCTTTCATAGTGCTCCACGTTTCCACCCCATACAGTAGAAGTGTCTTGACATTTGTATTGAAAATCCTGACCTTGGTGTTGGTTGACAGTTGCTTTGAGCTCCAGATGTTCTTCAGTTGTAAATATGCTGCTCTTGCTTTGCCGATCCGCACCTTCACATCTGTATCAGATCCACCCTGTTCATCAATGATGCTGCCCAAATATGTAAAGGTTTTTACATCTTCCAAATCTTCCCCGTCAATTGTGATTGGGTTGGTGCATGCTGTGTTGTATCGGAGAATCCTGCTTTTCCCTTTGTGTATGTTGAGACCTACTGCTGCTGAGGCTGCTGCCACGCTGTTTGTCTTCTCCTGCATCTGTTGTTGCGTGTGGGATAGAAGGGCCAGATCGTCTGCGAAGTCTAGATCATCCAACTGCATCTTAGATGTCCATTGTATCCTGCGCTTTCCTTCAGACGTTGACGTCTTCATGATCCAGTCGATCACCAGGAGAAAGAGAAAGGGTGAGAGTAAGCAACCTTGCCTAACACCGGTCTTCACTTCGAACGACTTTGTCAACTGTCCTCCATGCCCGATTTTGCAGTGTAATCCATCATATGAGTTCTGTATGATATTGACTATCTTCTGAGGCACGCCGTAGTGTCGAAGAAGTTTCCATAGTGTTGTTCTGTCCACGCTGTCAAATGCCTTTTCGTAGTCAATGAAGTTGATGTAGAGTGATGAATTCCATTCAATTGATTGTTCCACAATGATCCGTAGAGTTGCGATTTGGTCTGTATACGATCTATCCTTACGGAATCCTGCCTGTTGGTCTCGAAGTTGGGCGTCTACGCAGTCCTTCATCCTGTTTAACAATACCCTGTTGGAGACTTTTCCCGGTATTGAGAGAAGAGTGATGCCTCTGTAGTTATCACACTTGCTGAGATCGCCTTTCTTCGGTATTTTGATCAGGAGTCCTTCTTTCCAGTCTGTTGGTACTTGTTCCTCATCCCAAATCTTATTGAAGAGAATGTGGAGTATCCTTGCAGTTGCCACTACGTCTGCTTTTAGTGCCTCTGCTGGGATGTTGTCCGGTCCTGCTGCTTTGCCACTCTTGATTTGTCTGATGGCCATGCTGATTTCTTCAATTGTTGGTGGGCCAACATTGATTGGGAGGTCCGTGGGTGCTGCTTTGATGTTGGGTGGGTTCAGTGGCGCTGGTCGATTCAAAAGTTCTTTGAAGTGTTCTATCCACCTGTTTTGTTGCTCTTCAATGTGGGTGATTACCTTGCCTTCCTTGCTTTTCACTGGTCGTTCTGGTTTGCGGCGATTTCCAGAGAGTTTCTTTGTCGTGTCATACAATTGTTTCATGTTTCCTTCTCTTGCAGCCTTTTCCGCCGTCGTTGCTAAATCTTCCACATATTTACATTTGTCGGTTCTGATGCTCCTCTTCACTTGTTTGTTTATTTCCGTGTATTCAGCTTGTGCCTTAGCTTTTTCTGCTCTTGTTCGGCTGGTATTGATCGCTGCCTTCTTGTTCCTTCTTTCTTGAATCTTATCCAGTGTATCAACAGTGATCCATTCCTTGTGGTGGTGCTTCTTGTGACCCAGGACCTCATGACATGTTGAAGTGATTGCCTCTTTGATCCCCTTCCAGTTGCTCTCCACAGTAGTTCCTTCTCCATTGAGTAGATCATGAAAGGCCTGGAACTTGTTGCTGAGGACTATCTTGAATTTGTTGAGTTTGTTAGTATCCTGGAGAAAGGCCGTATTGAACTTTTGTGATACTGTCTGCCCCGTTGTCCAGTGCTTCTTGAGTTTCAATTTCATCTTGGCGACCAGTAAGTGATGATCTGATGCTATATCAGCTCCTCTCTTGGTTCTCACGTCCTCTATAGTCCTCCTGAACGTTTTGTTGATGCAAATATGGTCGATTTGGTTTTGTGTAGAGTGATCCGGTGAAGTCCATGTGGTTTTGTGAATGCGTTTATGTGGGAATACGGTGCCGCCTATGACCAGCTTATTGAAGGCACATAGATTTGCAAATCTCTCACCATTTTCGTTTCTTTCTCCCAGTCCGTGTCGTCCCATGATGTCTTCATATCCAGTGTTGTCCGTTCCAACCTTGGCGTTGAAATCTCCCATCAGAATGGTCAGGTCCTTTGTTTGGCACTTCTCGACGATTGACTGCAGCCTATTGTAGAATTGATCTTTAGCGTCCTCATTGTAGTCGTTGGTAGGCGCATAGCATTGGATGATGTTCATTGAAATGCCCTCTTTCTTTGTTTTGAACGAGGCTTTGATGATCCTTGGTCCATGAGATTCCCATCCTATAAGTGCATTTTGCGCTTGTTTGGACAGCATCAATGCAACTCCTTGTGTATGTGGTGCATTTTCTTCTTCATGGCCGGAATATAACAGGAGCTCTCCTGTAGTTAGTCGTTGTTGTCCAACTTGTGTCCAATGTGTTTCACTGATCGCAAGTACCTCTAGGTTGTATCTTCTCATTTCTGCAGCAATTTGGAAGGCTCTTCCGGTGTCCCACATTGTACGAACATTCCATGTACCTAAATAAATGGTTGCTCTGGTTGTCAGAAGGGGCATCGGCCTCGTAACTTCCGAAGGAATTCGGCTTTCATCATGAGGCGTCATAATTCTTCTAAATGAAGACCTTCTGACTCCCAGGGCAGAGTTTAAAAGGTTTGAATAATTTTTTCTGGTTAGCGTTTTTTTAGCGAGTTAGTTTTCTACGGGATGGGGACGCTAACTCCATGCCCAACCCTCCTCCTTTATCCGGGCTTGGGACCGGCAGTAGCCCCCGGAGGGACTCCAGGCGGAGTTGCTATGGACTACATGACAGGATTTAAGGAGCTGAATCTTACTAAGATATGTGCACTCAACAGTGATACTAACCAAATTCTACCAAACAAGTTTATTACATTGTAACTGTTCTTAGTAGCAAGCAGTGGATAGTGTTTCATTTTTTATTGATTCTAGATAATCGTTAAAGTGTCATGTTCATAATTTTTGCCCTTGATGACACTCACCGCAAGGACATATCTATAAAATCACGAAAGGTGAGGAAAAATTTTTCATGGCATTATAATGTACTAGGTACCTACGATACAAAGTCCTACTTTAGTCATCTCATAATAACAACAAATTGTTTTCCCACTGACGTTGTCTAAGAAAAATTTTAGAAATAGTATTTACAGTTAGATATATTCTTGGATTGTTTCTGAACATAAATCATTATCATTGGGATTGTACTGCGATCAAAAACAAAGTACTTATGAATCAAAACTTGTAGAACAATAGCAGTAAATAATAATTTAATGACAATTCAAATCAATTATTACAATTCCATTACAGACATATGCTTAATTTAGTTTATTTATACAAATTGAAACTAGTCAGATGGGGATAGCTCTTAGTTTTTGCAATTGAGTTTAACTTTGGTAAGTAAACAAGTAACTTAATAGCCTACCAAGACTAAAAGTTATCCTCTTATGAATGACACGATCATGTTCCTTGTGAATAATGTTTAGGTTTATTATTCAATTTACGATTCAGCTGAAGTACACATCAGAACTATCGATATACACTACATCAACATAGATTCTTTTCATAAAATCGTAAAGCGGAATACCATAGACACAGTAGATAAGTTGTTTGTAGGTGGGATTACTATTGGTTGTTTCCTGTTACAGATATTTAAAAATGTATGACAGTGTACATACTAAGGCCTATGGATTTTGATTTGTAGAGATGAGTGGAATAATGATTATAAACCTCGTCGTTTTT